CTCCCTCCCTCACCGTCGAAACGCGAAACTAATTTCCACCCGCAGAACGCAACCTGTATTGCGTATTATCCGTCAAGCTTCCTTAAGGATCGCACGCGCTCCATAGACGAGAGCGCGAATTAGTGTACCTCGTTACGCGAGTCTATAGCCTGTTCGTTAAGCAATTTCTCGTATACCGAGCGAGATGCGCAGTTAGATGGGCGGATATTCAATATCGAGTATTTCCTTGCTCGATATACGCACGTCAAAGCACAGACGTGCCCATTTAGCGAGAAGAAATTAATAACCAAATGTGCTCTTTGTACGTATCGCTTCGCGCATTATATCGAGTGTAATTACTGTGCCGTCGAATTCATAAGCGCATCTGCGCTTTTAATATGTAAATCTTGATTGCTTACATAAAAAGTCCCTTAATCCGATATCAATATCGGAATATGTATTACGCTCACCGACGATTGCTTCGCTACTGAATTTTCTCATTTATTTTACATCAACTGCCGAATGGAATCAGTGCTATTAACGCCCTATTGCGACGCGAAAAAAAAGCGATATCGACACTTCCACGCATCATTATACACGGCGCTATGCGCCCTGCATTTATTTTCATCCTTCATTTTATAAAGATTTTCTACGATCACTGTAATCCCACTCGATATCAATCAGTCAACATCGCGAACGAATGAGCCTGACAATTTAGATCTGATGGCGTCAATCACTGTCCGTCGGTTCGCCTGAGTACAATTCGGAGTCCACTTTTTCTCGTGGCATGTTTCCACACGCAGAGATATGGCCGTCGCGCACGTGTCTCCCCCGCGCGCGTCTCAGGAAAAAAAAAATAACGTTTTATTGCTTGTCAGACATTCATCCTTCCGCGTGACGTCACACACACGACGCCGTCCAACGTAGCAACAATTCGTTCGTTAAGCCTTTTTCCCGGTATTGCAGCAATCAGCCCAAGTCAGGACATTCGATACAGCCGTTCCACATCTCACATCGTCATACTCGTGAACGCGCAGATAAAGTAGTGGAAGCGTCTTCGAGATTGCCTCGTGCTTCCAAGAAAGGGCAGCTGAGTCGTGCCGTCGAGTATGATAGTTCCCCGTGCATACTGGAAGAGTTCCTATGCAGACCGTAAAAGCGCGTTTAAGTCGGCGCACGTTTCGCATGCATCTCGAAACTTTGCGTTTTCGGCCGTAAACTGTTGCTTACACGTCTTTCACGTCATTTTTTTCGAAAGCATCGAGGCAGTCTGCAAGATTCCCAGAGCCTAAAGCATTTAATGCAAAATTATTCTCAATCTTATCTTACGAGGCACACATACGCTGAATGATATCAAAGATCTTACACTGACTCAAGTTGTTACCGCACGCGTATAAACAAGTATTATCCTGTAAAATCTACACAAAAGTAACATAAGGCAAAAAGTAAAAATCTGCTGACAACGGTATCCAGTAAGGAGATATATTTAAGATCTCTTATCAATTGGTAAAATTCAAAAACTCAAATTTAAATTAAAAAATTCACAAATAAAGTTGCGAAATTGAATGAATTTATAAAACAACCACGATGGAATTTCACTAATGGTTTATCACGAGTATAATGAGTGCGCGACGAGCGAGCAGAGAGAAAACAGATCGAGAAATACCAAGCGCTCCATTGAGAGACGCGTACCAGGCTGTACTTCGAAACGCCTTGAGACACGGCCACTCGTCACAAGCCGTTAAGTGTTTCCGCGGGGCCAATTTTAATAACGTTGCGTCCAGAGAGGCACAACAAAGGCGGCCCCTGCCCGTTCCGGAGCGCTTTGACACCGATGTGTATTCATTCCTGCCCTTCCGCCCAGCCCTTCCGCCTTGTTTCCGGTACATCTCAGCGAGCATCCCCCTTTATACGCGCCCCGCATCTTCAATCATTACCCTCGGTACAATAAATGCGACTGAGCTGCCTCGATATAATTTACTCAGTTCTCTTCTGTTTCTTCGGTTTTCTGCTTCCACCTGAATACCTTCCGCCATTATGTTTGCGTTGTGTACATACAATGTACATCTATCGATTATATTTAGACTCACAGCAGAGCAGGTTCTACAAACGGCATTAGCAGGGGTTTCTATCGATGCCGCACGCATACACCTACCGTTAATGTCGTTCGATCGATTAGATGTTGCACTGTTCTGTGTACTCTGTTATCTCTCGAATGGGCGATGAAACATGACGTGTACATATTTCAAAGGACATGGAATTAACTATTAATCTTATTCCACGTCTTGAGAAATAGTTCTTAATTTTTTTCACTCGCTATCGTCCCGAATTTAATTACTTTTCCATTCAATTAAAATATAACACAAAGAGAAATATAAAGCTTCTAAAAAATAGAATTTATTCTGAAAAAAGACTGTGCGGAGTAAAAACGTTTTTATATTCATGCTTCTTTCATTTTCGTCATACTATTATTTTTACGCACGCGTTTATTCTTCAAGAAACACAGTCATAATTGACGCGGAGTGAAAGAAACATTTGAGGAATCTATGGTGATACAAGCTCTACCGCGCGCATTCTCGCTTTTCATTCCTTCCTCCGCTTCCTTTTTGTCGTGCCTTCCGGTCTGATTCCACAGTCCGCCTTGCCTTTTGCCGCGACCGTCCCTCCTTTTTTTTTCTCTTCCCGAGACTGCTCCTTTACCACCGACTCCGTCTCCGCAGTCTACGAGGAACTCTAACGAGGACTCTCGGTCGACGAGTAATTAGGAGAGGCACTTGTTGAAGGAAACAATCGCCGAGAGTCAACACCGAGTCGGATGAGCGAGTAATTGTAAACTGTGAGAATCGTGTTAGATCACTGGTTATCTCGATTGCCAGTGATTGCCGGTATTTGCTTTCCGGAAGGTATTCTCGCGGACAATCATTTGCTTCCGTCATCCGACATTCAATTTTGCGAAAGACAACCATCGCACGCTTACCATACATATCGCGCCGCTTTGTAATTCGTCGCGCCGAAATTGTTTCGTTCGTAACAATATTTAACAATAACACTAGACCCCGCGCTCATTCAATATTCAGCCAAAAATATCAGACGGTCGTTGATATAATCGCGCTTATGTTTACACGACGCAGCAGGCATGTTTGCTGCCTCCGTAATTGCGATATTTTATTCATCATCCGAGGTAATGAATCTCGGCATAATTGAGGGAATTCGTCGCATGAGAAACAACGTTACGTATAATTTTGTTATTTATGGGAGGAAATCAACGCACGGAAAATTTTCATTAGCGCTCAGCGTCGATCAAACGCGTTAATACGGAGCCGCCTTTATCCGGTACTTCCTCTATAACGTTGCACTCGTCTGAAGCTAATGAGAACTGACACAGGGAATAATTAGTAGGTACACTTCTTGGAGGAAAGCAGACATGTAATGCGAGACTCCGAGACAACAATGTCGGGTTGTACGCTGTATTTACTCCTGCGCCAAGAGCAGGAGTTACGATAACTTAAAAGTCATGCTCCGGGTAAAAATTAGTTCTCCGTGTAACTCCGCTTATCAACGTGACGTTTATGATTAACAATGTAATAATGTTAAAAAGGACGATGTAATTTTTTTTTCTTTTTTCGGAACGATAAAACGCACGTAAAATTTATTCCAACATAATACGCGACGTGTTTTCTAAAATGTGAACTGATTATAATTACATGTGTGCATTAAGTGCTTTCCAGCGCAAAGGCATTACATGCGCGCTCTTTGTATGAGAAAAGCGCCAGCGATAATCGACGATCGCTGTGTACTAACGATCACGTGCGGCTGAACTACGGTATTCTTCAATTAGTAAATTAGGTGGCGATATGCTGGACGTTACCACCAGGCCGCAAAGCAAAATTAATCCCACTGCATTCAAACAATATGTATCATGCATTGGACGCGTAATTGTTGGATAATGCGATTAAACTGGGCTCCAACAGGATTATCAGAATATACCGTGCATTTTTTTTTTGTCAAATTGCAAGGGTAACTTTGGATAAAATATTTATCAAATAATAAATAAATGATAAATTACGTACCTTAAATTTACATCGTCGATGCCGCCGGTTTTTTCCCCCTCTCAATACTCGATGATTGCTCTTCCATGGCACTGAAAAGCACAGAAACTAATTACGATCGCGCGATATTTTTACACAACGCTAATCATTTTCTTGACATGATTTTTATCGGATCGTAGCTCCGTGCGATTGCATGCTTTGACGAGTTTTTTCTTTATTATGATATGACAAAGTTCGCATCGGAAAAACGTTATATATGGATTGTGTATAAAATACCGCGCAATTGTAATTAGGTTTTATACTTTATAAGTGCTATGGAGCAGCCATCAATGAACCAAGACGAAGAGGAAATCCGGACATCGATGTAGTAACTTTGAGGTAAATGTTTTATTATTTATTTATTATAAAACACGCCAGAAAAGGCTATAAAAATCAAAAGTGCGGATATTAAAACGCAAACAATATTACAAATTAATATACATTAAAAATATAAAAACATTTTAGCCTAATTGTGGACCCTTTTCAGTTCGACGGAATGTAACGAAAGAAGAAAAGAGTTGAGGTTATATTAAATTATCAAACTTATATACAATAATTAGAACCGATGAAAATAGGATGAATTTATCTGTAATAATCACGCATAAAAAAAAAAAGATTGGATTGACTTACCGGCACGCGATTCGCAGCAGCAGAGTTGTTCATTGTTGCGATCTGTAACAATACAAATATATCTAAATTATAGCAGAGAGTTTAAAATAATTATTACATATTATGATACGATTAATCCGAAATATCCTGTATAATATGCACAAAATGTGTATAAAGTTTGTTTAATGATAGACTGTCGATTTACCGAATCGCTTTTTTCTCAGAGAAAATATGTATGCAATAAATGACGATTTTGCAGATATGAGATGTAACATCCCGTGATATATACACGAAAGACACACTTGTTAGCACAGTTCTCGTGTGTCAATAAAAGTGACAAACGGCGGCTGATCCGATCACGTATTCGTATCGTATGCGCAATTCCCATATGGGCCGCTCTCCTTGCATCTCCTCTCATGTGTCGAAAGCGGTCATAAAAAAAATCTGGGTCTCGATGAACTTGATTTATCGGGAACCCCTATGTAACGTGCGCTATTTTTATCCCAGTATTAAAGACGAAGAGTATCTCCGATCGGCGGCGGGGTATATTTCTTCCAATACTATTTCACGTCATCGCAATCTAGTAATACACGCGCACCCGGTTGTTTGAATTTACATGACGCGTCGCGAGATCCCGTCATAAAATATTGATTAAAAATAACACGCCCGTGTTCGACGTGTCGCGTCGATAATTGCCGTTCCGAGGTATCAATTTGGCAGCGGGCAATTTCAGGATCGCGCGACTCATCCGCGTCACGTAAAACGCGCCGAGAACGCTTGTTCGCGTAATCGTCCCGTCGACGCCATAGAATTTTTTTTTAACGGCCGCTTCAATAGGGTATTATTACCATTATACCTGCTCGTCTATCATCTCGTCGTACGGTTTCCACGACGGTCGCCGGGTCCTCGTGGCCTCCGGCGAAAGCCGACGTTACTGGCGCTTTTAATGCCGGGACCGTAACGCATTACTCACCGAGATGTAAAGTAAGCGAACATGCGTAAGTAAAGAGCGACCCTCCTCGAGCTTACGCCCGTACCTGCGAGCAGGTACACGGGCGAGTACCTGCCTGTGGGCAGCACCGAGCGTATATCGCATATATCACGCGTTTAAGTACCCAGTGCGGGCCCCCTTTTGAGCGCCCCGGCCCTCACTTGCGAGTCCGAACAGCCGGACCCCGAACCATCAAACAAAGACGCACAGCCGGCGATATCCGATCGGCCGTGGATAAAATCGCGCGGATCACGCTCGCCCCTGTCCGCGGGGTAATCGCAGAAATTTATGTGGAACCGTTTTTACAAGCACACGCGCAATTTGTTGCTACAACTCACGCGTCGACGGTCGGGGAAACGTTCGTAAACGTAACATATGATGCCAGGAAAGATTAAAAATGACGACAATCTGCATTCGCGAGCATTCGTTCGACAAAAAGCGAGTTTAATCTACGATGTACAATAACCGCCGCCTCTTCGCATTTGCATTCCGCATGTCGAGCGAAATCGGATGATTTATTACAACGTAAAACTCGAGTATATCATTAACTTTAGATTGAGGAGATTTAGAAAATATGATTGATTAGCGTGTAAAAGTAAGTCCAAAGTCCATTAAAAGAAGAGGCATCGCCCGGCAAGTTTAAATAGTTGGAATAAGCTTCCTTCAATGCTGTATTAAGTATCGCCGAGCAATGACGCCACTAATCCTCTACGGGGGAGGGGAAGTCGCGACGCTTCGTCGTAAAGATATAAGTATTCGTTTCTGCGACACTCGGTCGGATAACCGACAGTAGCAACCGGAAATTAAATTCTGCGCGCATCTCCTTCGGCTTGCCACGCGCGAATGTATTCTGTGTCTGTTTCTGTCACTCTCGACAACGACGACGGCGGCGTAAAAGCTCGCGCGTTATATTTTCCGCGATAGCGCGAATTATGCGTCGTCACACGCGCATCTCATCTAAATTTGTAATGGCGTTTTGCGCGTGCAGAGTGTACCCCATTTAATTACCGAGAATATCGCTCGCAGCGGATTATCCGCAGTATCTGCGTTCACAATAAACGCGTAACGCAGGTTGCGCATGTAAAATACATAATGTAAAAGTTCTGTAGAAATATGTCACGGACTTGTCCTTTCGTATCCTGCGTGTGAAATTTGCAACTTATTCTTTTCAAGAATTTCAAGTTTTTTTCATTATAATTATTTATTATACGAAATCTGCAAGAGCTGTGTAATTAAATTTTTTTAATTTACAACTTGATCATCGAATAATTTCCGTGAGACGATATTCCCCTTAAATCAAGAGACACGGTAGTGTCTCGCGCCAAGTTCACGCGCAGCGCAAGACCGAACGTGTATCTTTACGCGAGCCCAGAGAGCCGAGATTATCGAAACTCAATAATGCCTGGGCCGATCGAGTTGATAATGGTCTCAATCAATAGCGCATACCCAAAATATATAATAAAAGTATGCTTGTTTTTGCTCTACGTGCTTTATAAATAAATATATAAAAGTCCAAAGTCGAAATGTCAAAAATATTATCTCAATTTCTAGGATGTACAATCAACATTTTTCACACTAGATGGCTATAGTGATGTTAGTAGTTGAGTTTGTGTTAGTGGCGCTATAGGAAATAGCCGCGCAAACCAAATAACCTTACAGAAGATGTGTCAAAAGAATAATATTGAATTCGGCCACTCGCACTACATTACACTGGTGCACACTCAAGGCTGCTTAATGTTCACCAGTTTTTTATTCGTGTTCATCAGAGTAGTGTAGTGCAGTGTAGTGCAAGTGATCAAATTCAATATAAATGTATTAAGTAAAATAAGTGTATATAGGTTATAAGTAGTGTTTTAATTTTACCATACATTCTGTCAAAAAGCTTTAGTGTATGATCTGTCTAAAATAAATAAAATTAAATATCTCAAAGTTTAATATTTCAATTCTACGTATCCTAAATTAGTTCCAACAATATTTATAATTTCTAGTCAATTTTATATATAAAAAAAATATAGCATAAGTCACTTTTCGTGATTATCCTAAATTAGTTCCAATATTTATAATTTCCAGTCAATTTTATATCCATAGAAAATTGGAAACAAAAATTATAAACATAAACTCGACAAGAAATCTTGTAATACACAAAATTAAAATTGACCAGAATTATAAATATTGTTGGAAATAATTTGGGATACATAGAACAGAAATATTAAGCTTTGATATTTAATTTTATTTATTTTAGACAAATCATACACTAAAGTTTCTAAACAATGGTCTTATAAAACATAGTGATAATTGATATGATTGTATAAATTAATTTTACAATACATTCTGTCAAAAAAGCACATCATTCGAGACTTTAGTGTATGATTTGTCCAAAATA